CCGCGCCGTCCCGGTGGCGCCGGGACCAGCCGCGCACAGCGGTTACTGTGATTCTCATGGCTTCTCAATGACTTGGGTTATCTTCTGTAAAAAGGGATACACTTTTTTTTTTTTGCTTTGAAGGGGTTTTTTTTTTTAAAGTTGTTGGTATTTTTCCTTTGTCCAGACTAATGTCATCAATCCCTGTTCTCCATCAGCTCCTGTCTGTAATTCTGACTGTAAAAGAAGAGAAAACAAAACCCAAAGCACTTTGTTCCTGGTGGTGAAGAGCTTCGCCAGCCAAAAACCATTTCTAAACAGCGACAAAGTGCAGCGCGGTTTTCTTTCTGTCCGCCCGTGGGCAGCCCTCACTGCCGCATGCATGTGTCACCCGCGGAGACACCCCCGCACGCCCCCCGGGCGCGCGCTCACACCCACTGCATGTGCATATACCGGCTCCAGCCCTCGCACACACGCGTGCGACCACACGCACGCGCACACGGCTCGAACATCCACACTCTTGTTTCTTACCCAGACGGACTCACCTGTGGGTTTTTGTTCTGTTTTTAATTTTATGAGGTCAGTTTGACTTCACCCTTATTTTGTATGGATTTTCGGAGGAGATTTCTCCTTCTCCAGAGTCATGGAGGTGTGGCCATTCGCCTCCCGCCCTTGACGTTGTGATACACATACCCCACAGAGATCTATGTTTCTTATATTATATTATTATTATTATTAATTATTATTATTATTATGTAATAAATTTATAAGAAAGCTCTCCTTTGTTCTGTGTGGTGTCTCTCAGCTCCAGCACCCCCCAGACCGGGGTTGCTGTCTGGGACCTCTCTGCCCCTCCATGGGGGATTCACCAGCACCCTGGCCATGGACAGGCATGGGCAGCCAGCCTTCCTGCCCACTGGGGCTCCTGTTCTCCCCCAGGCCTGAGCCAGTGGCAGGGACAGCGGAGGGGAAGTGGGGCTGGGCAGGGGCCACGTCCCGCTGCACTTTGGGGGGGGGCCAGGGCCACTCACTGCTCATCCGTGCAGGGTGGCACAGGACAGACCTGCACCTGTCAGCCCCCTGCGCCCCAGGGCTGCCTTGCTGGGGGGGGGGGCAGCTTCCCAGGACTGGTGCCCCACTGCGGGGAGCCGGGCTATCCCAGAGCCACCGTGCCAGGCTTGGCTTTGCTGGAGGGGGCAGCCCTGGAGCTGGCGCAGCGCTGCGGGCACCCTCATGCTCCCAGACCCGGCAGTGATCTGCACAACCAACGTCCCCTCCGGTGCTGGCCTGTCCCCTGCACCGCCCCACGCCTGACGTCTGGGGCTCACCCCATAGGACCAGGGCCAAGTGGGAGTCTCGGAAGAACAGACGTGCTCAGGCCAGGGTCCGGCCACAGAGCCGGGAATGCATGGCCACGGGGCTGGCAAGCGGCACCGTGAAGCCAGCTGTGGTGGTCTGCAGGGGAGCGTGCCAGCCGCTACAGCCCCACAGGCTCCCACCCATCCCACCCCGCTCATGGGGCCCCCACCACCCCTGGGGACCCATTTGCACCCCATCTCGATGCCATTACCCGTGTCCCTCCCCAGCACCAAGCCCTCCACCGTGCCCTGCCCCAGGGTACCCGGCTGAGCCGTGGCCATGCCCCTGTTCCCAGGACAGGTGGGCTGCTGAGGGGCTGGGAGCACTCGCCGTCTCCAAGGCTGATGCGGGACTTTTACCCAGGCAAAAGGGTCGCCCTGAGCTGTGCCGCTGCAGGGCTGGGGCCACGCCAGCTCTTGGGAGCAGTGATGCTGCTGCAGGCCCTGCGGCACCTCGTGCTGAGCACTGGGTGTCCTTGGGGACACATTCTGCCTCCTCCCTGGCACTCTCTTGCACCTCCTCCTGCAGCAGCACCGGAGCCATGGGTGGAAAGAGCCAGGACCCCACAGAGCCGCTGCCCATCTCTGCCCATGCTGCCCTGTGTCCGGCTGCCTGCCCTGAGGACAGTGACTGCATTTGGGGATCGCCCCGGCTCCCACCAGCCTCCAGGCAGGGTGCTGGGGACTGTGCTGGGGCCGTCTGTGCCAGACAGATACGTCTGCCCAGCTGCAGCCCCACCAGGCCCTGGCAGAGCCACCAGCGCCACCAGCATCTCACCCCAGGCTGGGGCATGGTGCCACCGTCCCCAGCCAGAGCAGCACTGGGAGCAGAGGTGCAGGGACGTTACAGCACCTCCTGGGTCCCGGCCACATGGCACTGGGGTTCCTGGGTGCTGGATGCCCAGAGCTGAGGGGGGGTGACACGCATGAGGCACGAGGCCTCATTCGGTGTCTGCAGCTGCTGGCGAACCTGGACTTCATGGTTGCCTGGGGGGAAAAACAGCAGCTGAGGGTGAAGGAGTGGAGAGGAAGAGGGTAGGAGAGGTGTGCGGGGTCCTGGGGGACCCCAGCCGAGCAACCCCACGCCAGGCAGCCTCTCCAGCACAGGAGGCATTCTGGTCACCCCAGTGACCCCCCAGGACCATCACCCTTCCACTGGCATATGCTCGAGCTGCTCAGCAGTGTACTGGGCCCCAAGGCCCATGAAGGTGCTGGGAGCTCACTGGTACCTCGGCCTCATGCCCAGGCACATTCTCTAGGGTCCATCCCACTCCACTGTGATACGTTAGGGGACGCCAGCACAGCTCCTGCCCACCCCTCCTTGCTGCTGCTCCTATGCCCCCCAGAGCAAACCCCAAGCTGGGGTTGCAGCCCCCACCCAAGAGAGCCCTCCTCCCACACAGCCTGTGGAGTTGGGCATGAAGGATGGGGCTTTGGGGCTGGGGGGGTGCCTCACAGCAGCCCCCAGCAGGCATTCCCCCCTATTGTCTCTGCAGCCGGCACGGGGAGCTGGTGGGGGTCCCACCACCTCCCACACACCACACCGGTCCTGTGTCCCCCCAGCCATGCTGCCAGCCCAGCCACGCTGTGCCCACACCCTGAGGTCCCGGTACCCGTCCGTCCCCGCAGCCATCACTCCTGAGCCTGGCGGCCCCCATGCCACTCCATCCCCAAGCCCAGCTCTCCCCATGCCTGATGCTCCAGTCTCTGTGCCACAACAGCACTGCCCGTTTCGGCAACACTAATGCCTCCTTCCCTCATAGCCATGGGCACAGGGCAGGACCCAGCACGGGTCCGTGCGGCTTCCCTGCCACGGGGTGCCACAGGCTGGGTCCTCCTGCCCTGGGGTAACGGTTCGCTGCCCCCAGGCTGCTGCAGCCCCCCCTCCAGAGCTGGAAAGCTGCACCCCAAACCTCGGGGCACTGCAGCGTGGCAGTGACACTCAAGCAGAAACGGACTGCACGAGGTGACCGGGAGCGGGGGCGGCAGGAGGAGCCATGCCACATCAGCGGTGCACCCCACAGCACCCTGCCCACCCAGCTGAGCACCCCACACCTCCTGCAGATGCAACCGTGCACCCTGCACATGCACCCCATATGCCCTATGCCTCTTGCACACACACACCCCCCATGCACCTGCATGCTCTGCTCCTCCTGTGCACACCCCCCCCATGCACGCCCACCCATCCCATGCACCCTGCACACCCAGCTGTGCCCCACATTTCCCCCACTCCTCCTGCACATGCACCCCCACAGCCCTTGCTGCAGCCCGTGGTCCTGCACGCACACTCGCGTACCCCACTCCTGATTGCAACGCGCCTTCCCTGCACGCAGCAGTGCACCCCACTCTCCTGGGTGCAGTGCCCCCACCCTGCACCCCACACAGACCCACCCTCTCTGACCTGCTGCCCCCGCGGCACCGACAGAGCATCCCCAGGCTCGCGGTCACACCAAGCATATATTTTATTGAAAGACCAAGTGGATGACAAGGCAGTGAGGGGAGAACCTTTAACCAGGGTTTGTACAAGTGTCAGTTGCTCAGGACTCCTCCTGTCGTTCGAGTTACGAGATAAATATTGGTACATAGAGCGGAGTGGAGTTATAGTCACTAAACTAGCACTGGTCAGATATACGGGGCCGGCAAGCAAAATAAATCACCAGGCACAGCAGTGAGGAGCGGGGGCGGCCGCCTGCCCGGTGCCACACTCGGGCCGGACCCCGGCAGCCGCCCCGGCCGCGGGTTTTCCTCTCGCAGGGCAAATACATTCAGGCCAGGGGGGCTCCCGCGGGGCCGGCGGCATCGCCCCCCGCCCTGTAGGGAGCCCCCCAGACCGAGTGCCGGTCCTGCGCCCCACGGCCGGCACAGCCCCCCAGGGAAGGAGGGGATGGCAGAGCAGCGGTGGGGCAGGGACTGGGGACACCAATGGAGGCGAGGGGGCTGGGGCAGGAGGGGCCGTGCTGCGCTCCCCGGGGAGCTGCAGCACTGGGGCCGTGGAGGGGACAGGGCCAAGGTGGCTGCACTGGGGTGGGCTGTTCCTGGGGGCCTGCAGCTGCGGGGGGAGACCCCCGGGGGGGCTGGGAGGCTGGTGCTGCCGCCGTGCAGGGGGACAGCATAGACTTGGGGGCTTCATGGCTGGAGACGCTCACCCCAGCACCCCCACCTCTCCATGGCCCCCATCAGCCCCCCCACAGCCTCCCTCCAGCCCCATTCATCCCCTTGAGACCCCCCCCACTGCCCTGCTGCCCCTGCGAGCATTTGCCCGCCACGCACTCCCCCGGCATCTCCATCCCCTGCGGCAGCGGCTGGCCAGGGGCACGGCAGGTCCCTGCTCCTGCGGCCACCAGGCTGGCTTTGCTCATGCAGGGGGGGCAGCTTCTCCCCCGGCCCCGAGGCTCGGCTGCATCGCCTCCGTGGCCGGGGTCCCTAGGGCACAGGGCCGGGGCAATGCTGGGCGCACCTTGGATACCCACCCATGGTCCGCGGCTGCGGCCTGGCCCCCAGCCCCCCCGAGAAGCGGTGAGGATGTGCGGGGAGTCCGTTTGGGCATGGGCTGGAGCATGTGCAGGGGGGGCCAAGCCGGCTGGTTGTGGGGTCAGACAGAGTCTCTGGCCATCTGTGGGGCTGGAGGGGGGTGCGGAAGCAGGAGACACAGTGACTGCCCCCTTACTCCAGGTAAATGTCCTCTGTGGGGCAGGCGTACTCCAGGTGCTCCTGGTAATATTCCTGAAACGCTCGTCTGCAAGGAAGGGCACAATGGGGTGGCTCAGGGCTGGGCCGGGGCCCGGACCCCGGCACCGCAAACCCCTGCACATCCAGCCCCGGCACAGCCAGACCCCCTGCGCCCAGACCCCCAGCACTGCAACCCCCTGCATCCCCAGCATTGGCACGGCCAGCCCCCGTCCCCATCTTACCCGACGCACTCGGCGACGTGTCGCATGGATTCCTGGGAGACGAAGACGTGGCAGGCAAAGCGGCTCAGCACCGGGTGCTTGGTGATGAACCCAAAGTAGCTGCAGGGGGAGGGCAGGGTGAGGGGGGGGGACACACCCCACTCCTGCCCCATGGGGTGGTCCGGCAGCCGCAGGGGGCTCTGCAGAGGGGACACCCACTCGGTCCCTGGGGCTGGGGCAGCTGGGACAGGACGGGCACCAAGCAGGGGAACCTGGCATGGCACCGCAGGAGTGTGGGTGCCCCCGGGCAGGGGATGGAGGGGGGGTCCCTTGGGGCTGGGAGCACCCAAGGGGCTGTGGGAGAATGGGGTCTCACCAGCTGTTCCGGGGGTGGCACCCACAGAAGGAGATGTTCTTCATCTGGAAGAAGTGGCTGCAGCGCTCAAACTGGAAGAGAAAAGCCACCCGAGGTGTGGGCGCCCGGCTCATGGCAGGGCAGGCACCCGGCCCCCCCGCCCGCGCCCCTCACCTCCTCGTCCCGGCTGTACTCGGTGACAGTGAGGATGAGCTTGATGCCCTGCAGCGTGATCTCCAGGTCGCAGCTGGCCGGCGGGCGCAGGTGCACCGTCAGCTTCCTGGTGGTGGCAATCTGGGGGCATGGGGGTGGATGGCGGGCATGAGAGTGGAGCCCAAGCCGGCACAGGGACGGGGGGGTCACGCTGCCATCCCCCTCCCTCGGGCTCACCTTCTGCATGGCGGCACAGAGGATGCCATTGCCCTGGTGATACGGCACCTCCACCGAGCCCAGGAACTGCACATTGAACCGTTCCACCCAGCATGGGTTCCTCTTCAGGCCTGCGCGGGGAGAGGGGACGAGGAGACGGCGCCCTGAGCCCCCCGCGTCCCCCCGAGCCCCACGGCCCCTGCCACCCCCCTACGGCCCCCAGGGCCCCGCAGGCTCCTACCGATGGCGTCCCTGGCTTGGCCGACAACCTCGTGGGCGTAGAAGGCGGGGAAGATGCCCCTCTCCCCCGTCCGCATATTGTAGCCCCGGTACCAGTAGTCATCCTCCTCCAGCTCCACCAGGATGGGGTCATCCACGTCCAGCTCCAGCTCGTCCTCGTGGCGGGGGATGAACCTGGGGGGGATAGCCAGAAGGAGGACACGGGCAGGGAGGGGCAGAGCCATGGGAGAGGGGGTCCTGGGTGGCCCCCCCCCCCCCCAAGGTGCATGTGGCCAGCATGGCCGGGTTCACTGCTCACCTGAAGACAGCCCGGTGGGTTTGCTCCCGCTCCTCCCCGTTCACCATGCAGGAGAACAGCCCGAAGGACTCTGTGCCTGCAGAGAAGGAGGCTGCTGTAGGGCTGGGGGGCACCTCCCACCTCTGCCCACCCTGGGGAGCAGATGGCCATCACCCGTGGGATCAGGCCCCTCCTCGGAGGATCCCACCTGAGCCCCTGGCCCTGCACCCCCCACCGAGGCCGAGGACCCCGCGGGGTGCTGGTGCAAAGGCATGTTGGGGACCGGCCACCCAGCAAAACCTCACGGCCCCACGGGGGAGAGACCACGGCCTTCGGGTCCGGCCCCACGCTCCACGCAGCCACCCTGTCCCTGCCCCACCTCCCGTGCCATGCCGCGCCGTGCTATGCCACACGGGGACGATGCCATGGCCGGGATGGCCGAGCCAGGACAGCGGAAAGCAGCCAGCCCGCCGACAGCACACTGAGCAGCCTGGTATGGCATGGCATGGCATGGCCCGGCACGGGTCACTTACTGGAGGAACGGGAGGTGCTGTTGACGAAGACATTGAGGAACTTCTTGGAGAACTGCAGGTCGGCCTCAGGGGACGAGTCCTCGGAGGAGCTGTGGGCGTCAGGGGCCACCAGCCCATCTCCAAAGGCCGCCTCATCCTCCAGGTCGCAGCGGTCGCAGGCGCGGAGCAGGTCGCTGTCGTCGCTCAGCACTGAGGTGCAGCGCCGCAGGCTCACCAGCTCCAGCTGCGTGTGCTCGTCCACCACCAGTGTGTACTTCATCGAGTCGTAGGCCAGGGACTCATCCAGCGCCCGCGGCTCCAGCGCCCCGGGGGCAGGTGGCAGCTCCCCCCCAAAGCTTCCCCGCAGCGGGTCCTCGGGGAAGGGGGAGCCCTTCAGGTAGGGCGCCTCGTCCTCGTCTGTGGAGTAGGCCATGGTGAAGCCGCGGTTGGTCTTGGCGGTGGAGACATCCAGGGCGGGCGAGCCGGCGTCGGGGCCCTGCCCCTGGGGTGCTAACCGGACGTCGTCGATCATGTCGTCGGCCTCCAGGATGCCCGAGTCCAGGTCCCTGTCGACAGCCCAGTCCTCTGGGCCAGTGGCTGGCGGCGCCATGGTGGCGCGGTGCTCCCCGGCGGCAGCCTCGGTCCCGGGGGAGGCGCGCGGGGAGGCGCGGGGCGGCGCGGGGCGGCAGCCGAAGGTGGCCAGGACCTCAGAGGTGCCCAGTCTGTCGAGGGTGACGGGGCGCCCCGGGAAGACGGGCGCGATGGTGTCATTGGTGGGGTTGCTCAGGAAGAGGAAGGGGCCCGGCTCATCGGCAGGCGGCTCTGGCGCCGGCTCTGTCCCAGCACCCAGGGCCCGCTCGTCCTCGGCGCGCTGGAGGGAGCTGCGCAGCGTCTCCATGTCCACCAGCTCAATGGCGCGCTGGCAGTGGGGCAGGGCGGCCGGCTCCCCTGTGCCCACCGGGGAGTCCCGCGAGCCGGGCTCCCCATCCAGCGCCTCGCTCAGTATCTCGGGCTCCAGGTCGGAGGCTGGGGAGATGGTGTCGCAGAGCGAGTGGGTCTGCTGGAAGCACTCATCCGGGCACTTGATGGGGTAGGAGCCCTCAGAGATCATCTTGTTGACAAGGTTGCTGAGCAGCCAGGGCGAGTCCGAGTCCTCGCTCAGGTCGGGCTCTGACTCCGAGTCGGAGTCATACTCACTGTTGTCCTCCTCGTCAGCCTCAGGCATCAGCTTGGGCCCCACGGGCAGGTAGAAGGAGCGCCGGATGCTCTCCAGGCTGTGGTCTGGGTCAATCTTCAGGTCCAGGGGGCTGGAGGTGGAGAGGTCCGTCTGGCCTGCAGGTGCAGAGGAGTCCACCGGGTTCAGGCTGTCATAGTAGCCCTCCATCTTCAGCTCCGCCAGGCTCTCCCGTCTCACCACGCCGTGCTCCGGGAGCTCCCTCTCCAGGGTCTCCTCCTCCTCCTCCTTGCCCTTGTCCAGCAGCAGGGAGTCCTTGATGCCCATCAGGCCGGGGGCCTCCAGCTCCGTCTCCAGCTCGGCCTCTGAGGTGGGCGAGCTGGCCTCCTCGATGGAGTTGGTGAGGTGGGAGGACCTGCCGCTGCTGCTGTCGCTGCTCAGGTCCAGCTCCGTCTCCGAGATGGAGGAGATCATGTTGCTGACCAGGCGCCCGCCAGCAAAGGCCGCCTCGATCTCCCCCTCCACGTCCGAGTCGGAGCCGGGCGAGCTGAGGTCTTCGCCGTGCCGGCCGCCAGGCAGGAAGGGCTTGGCGGTCCTGCTGGTGAGGTCGGCCTCAATGCCAGGGTCCGAGGAGGGCGAGGTGGTCTCCGAGGAGCCCGAAGGGTGCCCGCGCACGCTGGCCGCCCGGCCGGGCTGTGGGCCCTCCCCATCGGAGCTGAGCGGCTCCGCGGGGCACACGTAGGCACCCGTCAGCCGGGCGCCCTGCCCGTC